TAATGATTAAGCTTTTTAAGATTAAAAAATTTGTATTTACTACATTTTTATACCCGTTACTCGTAGAGTAAAAGGTATATTGTATATTGTATTCGTGCAAACGAAACTTAGTCGCCCGTAGGGGTTTCCAAATTCGCCACTGTTAGCCGAGCGGATACTTTTTAAATAGGTGGGGGTTAATCCACTTTACGACAACGTCAGTTAACAAACAACGCAATAGTTCTTAAGGGTTATTTTTAAGTTTTTATTAGCCGCTTAATTAATCACGCTTGCAGTATGGCAGACAACCGGAAGAAGAGAGGGCAAGAGAGGGAAGGCGATCAGTGTGATCGCTTTTCTCCCAAAAGTTTTTGACCGGCTTTTTACAAGTCCTAGGGTTACCAGTCGTGCAGGGTTGCCAGTTTGGCAAGTACTGTTGCGCCAATAGGGGTAACTTTCGTTACATTACCCCCCTCTTAGACTCGAGTCTCCTGGCCGAGTTAGTCCTTGATACTTGACCAGGCGGTTGACGTGAAGGGTCTTTGTCGAACGCTTGCCGGGTAGACGGACTTCATAGACCAGATCGGAATGTCGTCGGATGACGGTGGCTGGACCAATCCAATCCGATTGTAGTTTCGGGCATCGTCCAACTTTTCGAGTGGGAGCGTAGATCCAAACTTCCTCACCAGCGATAAACTCCACAGGATGGGATCGGAGGTCGTAGCGGGCTTTGTTGACTTTGGCCGCGGCTAGAAGATGTTCTCGGGCGGCCTGGTGTGTCTTTCGTAGGTTCTCCTGTAAGCGCTCCACGTATTCGGGGTAGCTTTGCAAATCGGGGGACGGACGTCCGTAAATCAGCTCTGCAGGTAGGCGGGGTTCACGTCCCAGCATGAGTAAGCCTGGTGAAAATCCAGTGGCTTCGTGAGGGGCTGAGCGATAGGCCCACAAGGCTAACGGTAGGAGTTGGTCCCAATCTCGTTGATCGGCGGCGACGAATTTAGCCAAATAGTCCAGCAAAGTCCGGTTAAACCTCTCGACCATGCCGTCGGATTGAGGGTGTAGCGGGGTCGTGCGGGTCTTTTCCACATCAAGAAGGCGCATACAGGTCTGAAAAACAGTTGACTCAAAATTGCGACCTTGATCCGAGTGGAGTACGAAAGGCGCTCCATATCGGCAGAACACTTCCTGCACGAGGGCTTTGGCTACGGTCTCAGCAGTCTGGTTAGGGAGGGCGATGCATTCAGGCCATTTAGTAAAATAGCACATGACCACGGCTATATATCGGTTACCGAGCGATGTTGTAGGCAAGGGTCCCAGAATGTCGATCGTTAGGCGCTCAAAAGGGGCACCAATAGAACTTGGTTTCAACTGGCTCACCGTTCGCCGGGAGGGTCCCCTCCTTGCATTGCACTCGTGGCAGCGTGAACACCAGATGGCCACGTCTGCTGATTGACCAATCCAGTAGTACCGTTTCTTTACTTTGGCAGTCGTCTTCCTGACTCCAAAGTGACCTCCAGTTGGCGAGTTATGAGCGTGGCGTAGGGTTTCCTCTCGCAATGATTGCGGTACTAGCGTTACCTTCTCACCCGTTTTGCTTTGGGTCTTTATAACGCCATCTTCCAAGTGCAGGTTTGTGAAGGAGTGCCAATAGGCTTTTACGTCGGGGCTTTCGCCCCAAATCTGGGATTTGGGGGGTCTCTTTCCATCTTCCAACCAAGAGAGAACCAATGCTAACGTTGGGTCCTTTCGTTGGAGTTGGGCGTAATCGACAGCTTCGATTTGCATGAAAAGGACTCCTGGGCTGTCGGACTGCTCAGCTTTCTCGCATACTCTGCATGCGCCACAGGGGCGGCGTGAGAGCGCGTCGGCATTACCATGCTGTTTACCGCTTCGGTGGTGAATGTCCATGTGGTACTGCTGTAGGCGTTCGATCCAGCGAGCTAGTTGGCCTTCCGGTTCTTTAAAGTTGAACAGCCATCGGAGCGACGCATGGTCTGTCCGCAAGACAAACTTTCGTCCGTACAGATAATGATGAAAATGTTTGGTAGAGAGAACGGCGGCTAACAGTTCTCTTCTTGTGACGCAGTAGTTGCGCTCTGCTGCGTTAAATGTTTTGCTGTAGTATTCCAAGACACGCTCCTTACCGTCCTGGCATTGGCTGAGCACAGCTCCAGCGCCGTGATTGGAGGCATCAGTGTCGAGGATGAACAAACCATCAGGGTCTGGAAAGGTGAGAACTGGTGACGTTGTTAGCCTTACCTTAAGCAGGCTGAAGGCGCTTTGAGCATTGGCAGACCACGTGAAGGGGCGGCGGGCCTCGGTCAACTCATGCAACGGGCTATGGTCGCAAAGTCTGGGATGAACTTGCGGTAGTATGAGCACAATCCCACGAACGATCGTACTTCTTTCTGGTTGCGGGGCTGCGGCCAATCGACAACTTTTTGGATTTTGTCGGGGCATGCCTTTAAGCCGCGGTGGCTCACGATGTGACCAAGATAATTCACTTCGGAGCGGAAGAAGGCACACTTTCGTGGACTCAACTTAAGGCCGGCGGTTGCCAGACGATCAAATACTTGATCTAAGTGAACCAGGTGCTCCTCGGCTGTGCGGGAGTGCACGATTATGTCGTCTAGGTATACCAGTGTTGACTTCCAAGAGAGGCCGGCCAGTAGGCCATCCATCAGGCGTTCGAAGGTCGCTGGCGCATTTGTCAGGCCGAATGGCATCACGTTGAATTCGAACAGCCCCACGTCACAAGTGAACGCAGTTTTGGGACGCGACTCCTGGTCCATTTCTACTTGCCAGTATCCACTTTGTAAATCCATGGTAGAGAACCAGCGGGAGCCATGCAGGGTAGTCAAAATGTCATCCATTTTTGGCAACGGGTACGAATCCTTCACTGTCATGTCATTCAGGCGACGATAATCCACGCAGAATCTGGTGGATCCATCCTTTTTCCGTACTAGCACGACGGGTGAGGCCCAGGGGCTGGTGGAAGGGCGGATCACGTCTCTGGACTGCATATCGGCGATTAATTGCTCCACCTCCGTTTTTCGTGCGAGGGGTATCCGCCGTGGTGGTTGCTTGATAGGCCGGGCCTGACCGGTGTCGATGGTGTGGTGGGCTAAATTTGTCCGCCCCATGTCATCGTCACCTTGAGCAAACACTGTCTCGTAGCGTTGCAGCAGCTTCTGCCAACCTACATGAAGGCTCGTTGGCAAGTCTGGCGGTAGCGCTGGCGACAACCAACACATACCGTCCGGCTCTGGCAGTTTTCCGGCGGCCGGCAATACTTCGGCTGATTCCACTTGTCCCAAAATGGTGAATATTGGTAACCGGCATTCCCTGGAACTCATGTTCAGCAAGTGTAGAGTTGTGGAGTTGTCCTCTCGGTTCACCACCGTACTGCCTAAGATTACCTCATTAGGTAACTGGGAAAAGGTACCACGCTCCAATACTGCCACGGGACATCGATCTTGTGATTGGCAACAGACTCTCAGAAAGGTGTTGCTGTAGGGAGGAATCCTGGTTTCTACTGTAGAGTACAGTAGGCTAGGCAGCGTCACGCCGGGGGGGTGCAGTGGAATCGCTCCCCACGGGAATTTGAGGTGCAAAGCCTTTAGGTCCACGGATGCCTGGTGACGCAACAGAAAGTCGATGCCCATAAGGCTCGGGGTGTTGCCTTCCACCAAGAGAAATTCGTGCTGTAGGGGCCGGCCAGCTATAACCAGACTGGCTAACACCCGGGCTGTGGCGATGAACTGTTCTGCAGACGGACCTTGTAGAACGACGTGGCACGGGGTGGTGTTTAACCGTTTCCGAAAGTCTCCGCGATTGAGTAGCGAGACTGAGGCGCCAGTGTCCACAATAAGTCGTACTGGGGTTTCCTGTAAAAAAATGAAACAGTGTAAATGCTGACCGCTACGCGGACCACAGGTATACGTAGCTTTTGTTGGCAAGGCGTTGATCTCCTGTTGGGTATAAACCGTGGGCGCAGGCTCAACTTCCTTATGTGGCGGGTCAGCAAGCAAACGGGCCACAACGGACTCAGGTTCTTCAGATGGAGTGATGCGTTCGGCGGTTTGTTGGGAGGTTGGTGGCCAGGCGAGGGCATGAGTCGTCGATGCGACAACCCGAACTTCTGGCCAAAGCTTCGCTTCAACACACGTGAGCGGCGGCGTCAAAGCGTTTTCGTTGAGCGGCGGCTCTTCGAACAGCAGGGCACGGGCGGCTGCGACTTCCTCTGAAGGAGCGGCTGGTGTAGCAATAAACTGTTCGGTGGTTGTTGGCTCTACTGGGTGCAAGGCGTTGAGCTCCTGTTGGGTACGGGCCGTGGGATCAACTTCTTCGGGTGCCGGTTCGGCAAACAAACGGGCCAAAACGGATTCGGGTTCTTCAGGTGCTGCGAAGCGTTCGGCGGTTTGTTGCGGGTTTAGTGGCCAGGCGAGTGCATGGGTCGCGGTGGCAGCAACTCGGACTTCTGGCCGTGGTTTCGCTTCCTCCCACGTGAGCGGCGGCATCAAAACGGATTCGCTGAGCGGCGGCTCTTCAAACAGCTGGGCACGGGCGGCTTCAACTTCCTCTGAAGGAGCGGCTGGTGCGGCAATGAACTGCTTGGTGGTTGGTAGCTTCACCGTGGGGACCTTTACTCGTTCGTAGCTTCCAGTTGCCAGGGATTGGGTAGTGGTGAATTTGCGTTGGCCGGGATAGTCGGTAATCCGTTGGCACTCTCTCCGGGCGGAGGCATTACGGGCGCGGGAGGCAGGACGGCTTCGACTCTCTTAAGAGGAAGACTATGTCGGGCCATTGGCTGCTCGGTAAGCGGCGGTCTCTCGGTGAGGTGCGTCGAGGGTTCACAGGTTGTGGGCTCATGTTCACTCGTCCAAACTGAGGTTGGGGGTGTGCTACGTATCTGTTGCATCCAAGGATGAAACTCGTCGTTGATGTTGGGATGGTCCAAGGCAGGCAAAGGGTCTGTGGGGCTGTTGGGACTGGTGGCCAACCTCCGCCCCGAGAGGCTGGCGGCATTTAGTTTCCCGCTTGGTTAGTAGGAGGTGGGGGTGACTCTGGACTAGCACGCCCATTCCGGCGTGGTCCTCGGCCACCGCTTCTTGGCGCTGACGGCTGGGTTTCAGCAGTCATGGCCGTGACGTTCATCACGGTTCCGCCTGGGCGACGTCGACATTGTGCTTCTATGCGGATGGCCATATCGAGGGCTTCCATTAGTGATCGTGGGTTACTGCTTATAATCGGCACTTGGTAAGCTGTCTCTCGAATCCCATCAATAAAGCGCTGCACCATGATGTTGTTGTAGGTCAGCTCAGGCAGCTCGCCAAAAACTGCTCGACCAAGGCGTTCTAATTCCAAAGCGAAGTCATCGAGTGTCTCCTTTGGGCCCTGCATACGGTTATGGAAGATGTGGTAACCGGTATGAGTCCCTACTGTGAAATGTTCACGCATAGCCGTCTTGATCGCCTCATAGGAACGGAGGGTGGACTCCGGGAGGGTGCCGTGAAAGCGTTGGGCGCGCCCGCGCAGGCTGGTGTACAGCTTTCGGCATCTCTTTCTCTCCGACCAGTGATACTCCTCTGCCATATCGTCCAGCAGACGTTGAAACTCAGACCATGGCCTTGTGCCGTCGAATATAGGGGGTATCTCTGTATCGGGCAACTCCAAAAAGTCCCAACATCGAGAAGGAATGACTGATTGCGATGCTCTTGTTGACAACCCATCGGCTGCAAAGCCGGCTGGTGGAGGCTGCGGGTCGTATGAGCGACCAACAGGTGCTGCCGGGGATTCTAGCGGGCAATTGCGGCGCGGTGCATCCTCCGCTGATGGTGCAACTAGACGCGGCGTGCTAGAAGAGAGCATTGTCTTATTTGTCTTCCAGCTTCTGCATGAAAGACTGAATTTGTTGCTGTTGTGCGGCCTCTCCCATATTTCCATCGGGTGAGGGCTGGCGTTGGCGAACTAATTTTTTTGGCATTTACTTTGGGTCTGGGTTTTCGCAAACCCACCAATGTAACGAAACTTAGTCGCCCGTAAGGGTTTCCAAATTCGCCACTGTTAGCCGAGCGGATACTTTTTAAGTAGGTGGGGGTTAATCCACTTTACGACAACGTCAAACAACAAACAACGCAATAGTTCTTAAGGGTTATTTTTAAGTTTTTATTAGCCGCTTAATTAATCACGCTTGCAGTATGGCAGACAACCGGAAGAAGAGTCAGAGAGAGAGGGAAGGCGATCAGTGTGATCGCTTTTCTCCCAAAAATTTTTGACCGGTTTTTTACAGGTCCTAGGGTGACCATTCGTGCAGGGTTGCCACTTTGGCAAGTACTGATGCGCCAACTTTCGTTACAGTATGTACAGGGAGAAGGAAGCGTTTCCGACCCTATAAAGTATATATATTCTTGATCAGGGTCACAAGCCGAGTCGATATAGCTATGTCCGTTCGTATGAACGCTGAGATCTCGTAAACTACAAAAGCTAGAAGGTTGAGATTTTCCACACATATTCTTGGGCTTCCTACGCAGCGCAAGTTTATTTGAGCCGAGCGCCACGCCCCCTCTAACGCCCACAATCGCCCACTAACAATTTTAAAATATAACTTCCTAAAACAATTCAAAATTATACAAAAAACAAGAAAGGAAGCTAGCTTCGGCCAGCCGAAGCTTATATACCCTTGCAGATCATTCCTATTAATTAACAAATCGCAAAAATGTTCAATTTTCTAATATTTCTCATTAATTTTCCGATCGTTCCTATGGCAGCTATATGATATAGTCGTCCGATTTTGATCAAATTAAAATTGAAATTCGAAAATATTTAAAAAGAGTCATATCCTAGAGTAGAAGATAATACAATAAAAACCAAAGAAGCTAGAATTTATTTCCTATTACTTTTCCATTAATTTTCCGATCGTTCCTATGGCAGCTATATGATATAGTCGTCCGATTTTGATTAAATTAAAATTGAAATTCGGAAATATTTAAAAAGTGTCATATCCTAGAGTAGAAGATAATACAATAAAATCCAAAGAAGCTAGAATTTATTTCCTATTACTTTTCCATTAATTTTCCGATCGTTCCTATGGCAGCTATATGATATAGTAGTCCGATTTTTTAAATAATTAATTCGAAATTCAGATATATTTAAAAAATCAAATAAAAACACCTCTTAACGAGGTAAAAAACTAGTGACGAACGCACCTTCAACATACAAAAGTTCTGATATCAACATTTGTGACGAAAAATTATTACACTCGTCATTAAATAGACTTTCTAATATTTTCTCATTCGGCCCGCCCTAGCAAACTATTCCAGCCTTTTTCCCTTCACAGGCATTTTCTATTGCAGCGTGCCGAATGAGAAAATATTAGAAAGTCTATTTAATGACGAGTGTAATAATTTTTCGTCACAAATGTTGATATCAGAACTTTTGTATGTTGAAGGTGCGTTCGTCACTAGTTTTTTACCTCGTTAAGAGGTGTTTTTATTTGATATCAGAAGTTTTTGTTTGTTTACTTTTGCTCTCATAGGTGCTAATATAAACATTTAAATTTAAATTGGTCATAAATCATAATTTTTAAACTATTGTATTTTAACGAATTCAGTTAAAAAGGCGTTGAAGTATTTCAAAATACCTTTTAAACGAGGTATAGCACATGTCTGTACCTTTAGTAGTGTAGAACTTACAAACTAACGAAATGTAGCTATTTCTAGCTTTTTCCCGCTAAAGTAGCGGCTTTTTCCAAAAGTCGTAGAACAAAAGATTCCTATATGGAACTCTTAAGTGCAAATTTACTGATTCCATGACTCTAAAATACAGTTCGGATACCCTCACACAAAATTCAATACTCAGGGAGCGTTAGTAGTTCGAGCTTGCAAAAGTGGCTATTTTCGTATAAAAATAACTTTTAAACGTGACTTTTTACAGTAATGTGTTATATACCAAAATTTAAGGAATCTCAAGGGCTATACAGTTTAAAGTTTTAAAGAAAATCGTTAGAGCCGTTTTTGAAAAAAATAAAAAAAAGCTAAAAAAAAAGTTTTAAAAAATTGTCTTTTGTTCATATTTTTTTAACTATTACATTTACACAAGTTGCATATAAATGGCGTTTATAGCATTTCAAAATACCTTATAAACGAGATGCAGCACAAGTCTGTAGCTTTAGTAGTATAGAAGTTACGGCTTTCCGAATTTTAGCTACTTATAGCTGTTTTCCCGCTAGACTAGCGAGTTTTTCCAAAAGTGGTAGAACAAAAGTTTTTTATATCGATGTGATGAACGTCATATCAAATTTTCAAAACTTAGAAAACATGTTTTGGACAAACTGACAAACTGACAAACTGACAAACTGACAAACTGACAAACTGACAAACAGAATTAAATTTTCATTTTGGGAAGACGAAGAAAATCTTATTTTGGCTATAACTTTTGAACGGAGCGTCGGATTTTGACAAATGACCCCTCATTCGACGGGTATTTTCAAAAGGAATACAACTAAAACATTGAGAGGGGGCAATTATCCCCACCGGCCCCAACAGCTCCAAATTTCGAAATATTCACTTTTTTACTTTCACCGCTCTCTCTCCCAAGCCAATTGATTTTCTTAGAGTCTTGGTATGCAATCCTGTTAGTTTTCGCAATACCTTTCGATAGGTGTATCATTCATTATGATCGGACCATCACAGTAGATTTTCATTTCTTCGTGTATATATAGTAGTCGCCTTCGCACACCCTCCTGGTGCGCTTCGTCACTACATGGACTGCCGTCCATAGTGATAACATCCCCAAAAGTAGAAGGTAATATTTCAAAAAACACCGAAGCTAGAATTTTTTAAAGTTTTTTTTTTCCGATTGTTCCTATGGGAGCTATAAGATATAGTTGTCCGATCCGGTCGGCTCCGACATATATACTACCTGCAATAGAAAGAAGACTTTTGGGAAAGTTTCATCCTGATAGCTCAAAAACTGAGAGACTAGTTTGCGTAGAAACAGACAGACGGACAGACGGACAGACGGACAGACGGACGGACAGACGGACAGACGGACAGACGGACATGGCTAGATCGACTCGTCTTGTGATGCTGATCAAGAATATATATACTTTATGGGGTCGGAAACGTCTCCTTCACTGCGTTGCAAACTTCTGACTGAAATCATAATACCCTCTGCAAGGGTATAATTATACAAAAAAAAATACTACACACGACTTTCTTTTCGAGTAGGGGAAACTGGGGCAAATTCGTCACTGGGGCAATTTCGTCACCTGCAATATCTCGGAATCTATAAGTCGTAAAAATATATCATTTTTTTGATTTAGTCCTTCTAGACGGCATGACACAACCAATGCATTTTTTTTAACAGAAGGCCAAGATATAATATTAATAATATTAAATGTGTTTTCATAGTTCAAAAGCTACATTTAGTTCTCGACGAAATTTTTTCTGTATGCCACAATTGAAAAGGTACAGGTTTTTTATATAATACACAGTGCTTAATGTGCATTTCTGCGTTAGTGATTTTGGAAGAAAAATAATTATTTCTAAAAAAGTACTGTGTGGGGAAATTTCGCTTCCCTATGCTTAGGGTATATTCGCACCTATTTTAAATCAAATAAAAACACCTCTTAACGAGGTAAAAAACTAGTGACGATCGCACCTTTAACGTACAAAAGTTCTGATATCAACTTTTGTGACGAAAAATGATTTTAGACGCAACTAAATAAGTACGCTACCTAAAATTTACTCGGTCGGCCCGCTTTAAAAAATTTTTAATATCTACACGAAAGTTTTCTGTTGTAGCGTGCCGAATGAATACATTTTAGGTAGCGTACTTATTTAGTCGCATCTAAAATCATTTTTCGTCACAAAAGTTGATATCAGATCTTTTGTACGTTGAAGGTGCGATCGTCACTAGTTTTTTACCTCGTTAAGAGGTGTTTTTATTTGATATCAGAAGTTTTTGTTTGTTTACGTCTGCTCTCATAGGTGCTAATATAAACATTTAATTTTAAATTGGTCATAAATCATAATTTCTAAACTATTGTATTTTAACGAATTAAGTTAAAAAGGCGTTGAAGTATTTCAAAATACCTTTTAAACGAGGTATAGCACATGTCTGTACCTTTAGTAGTGTAGAACTTACAAACTAAGGAAATGTAGCTATTTTTAGCTTTTTCCCGCTAAAATAGCGGCTTTTTCCAAAAGTCGTTGAACAAAAGATTCCTATATGGAACTCTTAAGTGCAAATTTACTGATTCCATGACCCTAAAATACAGTTCGGATACCCTCACACAAAATTCAATACTCAGGGAGCGTTAGTAGTTCATGCTGGCAAAAGTGGCTATTTTCGTCTAAAAAAAAAACGTGACTTTTTACAGTAATGTGTTATATACCAAAATTTAAAGAATCTCAAGGGCTATACAGTTTAAAGTTTTAAAGAAAATCGTTAGAGCCGTTTTTGAGAACAATAAAAAAAAAGTTTAAAAAACAGTTTTAAAAAATTGTCTTTTGTTCATATCTTTTTAACTATTACATTTACACAAATTGCATATAGAAGGCGTTTATAGCATTTAAAAATACTTTTCAAACGAGATGCAGCACAAGTCTGTAGCTTTAGTAGTATAGAAGTTACGGCTTTTCGAATTTTACCTATTTATAGCTGTTTTCCCGCTAAACTAGCGGGTTTTTCCAAAAGTGGTAGAACAAAAGTTTTTTATATCGATGTGATGAACGTCATATTAAATTTTCAAAACTTAAAAAACATGTTTTGGACAAACTGACAAACAGAATTAAATTTTCATTTTGGGAAGACGAAGAAAATCTTATTTTGGCTCTAACTTTTGAACGGAGCGTCGGATTTTATCA